ACTCTGAAACTGGAACAGCAACAGGCAGTGTTAAGCCGCTTCAGCTACAGGCTGGAAATTAGACTGAAGAAATATTATGAGGCATGTGATATAAAAACAGTTATAAGGGCATGTGTGTGCCACGGTTAGGGGGACATGAAAATGAGCTCTGGGATTCCTGTTAAATTAACCAAGCTTTGAGATATAAGCATCAAGACAAAGCAATTGCTTTCTTTTTCTTTTTCTATAAAAGCCTTGTGCCTTCTAGTTAAATCCATTAATTCAGTATGATATTACTATTTAATTTGTTCATGTAAGTCTATTCCTCCAACCCGTTTTGAAAAGAATAAGCCCTGGTCTGGTCTTTTTAGCAAGGACTTAGTTATTAAAAATGTCCATCCATCCATCCATCCTCCCCTTTGTTGCGGATCTCATATCAGTGGATCTGAATGGCTAATGCAGAATTTTAAAACTTGCAGTACAGTACAAAATAATAATATACATGTGATTGGATGATAAGATTTCCAATCCAGTTTTCCTTCAGGTGGAGGAGAGGTGTTCTGATTATTGCTTGCTCATATGACATTATGGCAATATAAAGCCTATCCTTATTACAGTACTACTATGCCAACACAAAGATGATTGGATTATTTCCTACAATTGCTTCTGGTCAAATGGCTCAAGTGGTCCTTAGAAAAAAGTAGCTATTTCCTATATCCTGCCTTTTAATTGGTCCCGCATAATAAACAATCTTGATTAATGCATTTCTCCAGATTATTCAATAAGGCTCAACACAAGTAAAACACACCTGGAATATTAGAAGAGAAACCATCTTGATTTTTATTATTGTTCCTAGGTTCAGTGTAAATAGAAAGAGACAATCTTTAATATTTCCCTGTGCTTACAGTTTGGTCCACAAAGAACAAGAGTGCTAACTGGGCAACAATATTTTGCCCCATTATTTAGGGCTTGTGGGTCTGCACTGTGGAGTAGAAACTGACGATTGATATTTAAAAAAATAATAATAATAATTGGTGGGGAGAGATTGCTTGATCAGATTTGGCACTTTGATAGCCTCAAAATACTTCCTGACTGAGAGATTGCAGGTTATGGTGGTTTATTTTCCTATGGCTATGGGCAAAAATACCCAATAGTACAATTAATAAGGAATACAAAACAGCGAACAAATCAGCACACGAGAGAAGAAACATCCAGGATTTAACCAGGATTTACATAAATGGGGAGAGGACAGAAAAAAAAAAAAAGATTTCTAGCCACTATTGATGCGACAAAGAAAGATAAAAACTTGAAATGACCAAAGAAGAAAGGATAAGCTAAATTAAACAAATAAACCAATCAACCATAAGCAACCCACTGGATTGGATGTCGGTACAATTGAGGAACAATCAACCATCTGCTGCAAAAAAAAAAAAAACACCCCAAAACCCAGTTCCATATTTTTATGGCTTTCAGGACTCAAAGGATATCCATTGATATGTGAGGGAATCTAAAAAAAAAAAAAAAAAAATGCAGGTGAGGAAGCAACAGCATGTAGGCAGATGCACAAAGGCATCTACACCCACAGAGACCCTAGTTAAATAGAAGCAGATAGCCTTGGGAGCCACTTGGTCCTGGCCTTTACCTGGGGCATCACTTTGGTGGATTTCCAGCAAAAGGAACAATCCAGTGATATAGTTTTTGCCCCGAGTGGAGGCATATACCAGAGAATATACTTATATTTTCAGATAAGTAAGACAGCCATTTAATCATAAGCATAGATAAGGACAAAAAAGCCCTTCAGATTCTTCTTGGAGTCTTCTGAAATCATAAGGCTTCACTATAAATGCGTGTTTGTAGGAAGAAGAGTGGTTCCAATTTCAAAACTGTCAAATAAATGCAATGGAAGAAAGGCAATCAATATTCTGTTTTGGTGTCATCAGAATTGAAGCCATATGAGATAATAAAATGACTGCATTGTCTGCTGTTCAACTGCTATATGGCTTGGCACCCATACTACAGCCCATGACAATTAGCGCGTCCAAAGAGGCTAAAGTCACAGTTCTCACACCCAGCTCATTCAAGACACCCAGAACAATTTGTTCGTTTGGCATTGTCCACTTTCTGACAATTTTGGATCAACTGCTAAGTGTGCTGAATTCTTGCATCAGGCAGCAGCTGTTAGCAGAAAATTCCCAGGGAAGCAAAAATGGCTGGCTTCTCAATTTTGATATAGGCCATACCTATGGATGTTTAAAGCCGGCAGTGTCATAGCCCAAGGATGGGGCAGAATTCATTTCATATAATTGGAAAGATCCGTTGACAATATGTGGATTCATCCTTGCATGGGCTTCTTTTTAAGGCCAAGTCATTAAAAGTGATTAGGACTGTTTTGATAATAATGCTAGTTATAGTAGCATCGGTATAACTAGTCCAACAACAGTAATTGGGACTGGAGCTGCCATCACTAAAGCAATGCAGCCATAAAACACGATGTCATGTGACTGTGCTATGTAGGAAGGGCAGGTCTGGCAGACCTGCCCTCACTACATAGCACAATCACATGTGCTATGTACACATAGCACAGTTAAGTGACATAGCAAAGTTATTAAGTGAGGACTGTGCAGGTCGTTAAGTGAGGATCTCGTGTGACTGCAACTTCTGACTTCCTGCCAGTTTTCCCAATGACTTTGCTTGTGGGAAGTTGGCAGGGGAAGTCACAAAGGTGATTATGTGACTATGGGGGAGCTACTCCAGCCATAAATATGAGGACTGGATGTATATATCACTTGCTTGGTGCTGTGGTAAGTTCAAACGGTCATTGAACAAGTAGTCATAAAATGAGGACCAGCACTTTTTTTGTCCATCAATATTTCACAGTGATGGCCAGATGACTAAAGAAAAATGAATCTCTGCCTGAGGAGTTCAACCATGTGAAGGGGTACTGATGGGTGACATCCTTCAGCAATAAGAGAGGACTGCTCCTTTCTAATGCTGACCCTGTTTTGCCAAACTGAAAAGGTTGCTGCTTCTCCCTTTGCCTTGCATTTGGAAAAGGCTAGAATTTGTGGAATTCTGGTACCATCCAGCATTTTAAAAAAGTTATTAGCTATTTGCTCTGTCATAAAATAGATAATCTATTTGAATAAAAAATAAAGATGCCAACCAAGCATCAGAAGAAACACTTTAAAATACTACTGCTGCTATTTCTACTTTTTAAAAGGATTCAGCAATTTTCCCTGAAAAACCCTAAAGTATTCCAAAACAATAAAACATTTGGAAAGTGCATTCCTCAAGCACTAAAACTGAGTGCGTTTGAGTTCGGTCCCGCATTTGAGATTTACAGCAGTCTTACTCGGAATCTCCTCAATATAAAAAAATAGGTATCGATTAAATGCATTTTCCGTTCACCCAGAGGCTTTCTTCAGCATTAAAAGAAAACGAGTTACTCATAAAAGAAAAAATATATATGTCGTGGCTACGTGAGACTCTAAGCATTTATACTCCAATCACAGAGCAAAGCATCACTGGAGATCACTAGCACGGGGGCACTGCAGTTTATCCCCTCATGTGGATTTAAAAATAATAATAAAATAAAACGCGGGACCTTTCAAAACAAAAACCTCCAAATAACGTTGCGGGAAATTACTTTAAAACGTCTCTAGCACCTATAGGCCTACATTCTGAAACGGAAATAAATTCTTTGTTTAAAATGTGTATCTAAAACGATGATCGGCGGCTGGAGGGGGAAAAAAAGAGATGGTGGGGCGGTCGGGAAAGCAGCAAGCGGGCCCGGGAAAAGGCGGGCGTTAGGACCAGGGAAGAGCCGCAGAGGCAGCGGCAGTAGCCCGCCATCAACTCAGGGCAGGGCTGCGTCCGGGGCAATTAGAGCTGCGCCAGATTGCGCCGTGCAGCGCTGCTGTCAGCCTTAATCTGCGCACTGATGGGCAGCCCGAAATCCAAGCCGCAGCCCACAGGAAGCATAAGCAGTGAACCCATATTGCTTTGACAGTTGCACTCATCTAGAAATAATGCAAAACACTACTTAGATGTATAGGCGGCGACCCTGTGCTCTAAGAAGAAAACAATCTAATGAGGGGCTGGGAACGCAGCGCGCCGCCTGCACAGAGACAAGCGGGAGCCGCTTCCGCCCGCCAGCCCGCCTTTACAGCTCCTCGTAGCGGATCCGTTGCGACCGTCGCGTGGGAGCCGCTTTGCCCGAGCTGGTTTTCGCCTCCATCGCCTCGTGGAAGAACCGAAAGATCGACGGGAAGCTCTTCCAGGAGGTCAGCTCGTGCCGCTCCGTCCCTGCAACACAGAAAAGAGCACCGCGTCACTACCTGCGGGGAAACCTGGGAGACCGGTGGGGCTGGGGGGGGGGGGGGGAACATTCCCGGCCCTCGGCAACAAACTGGAAAGGGTCAAGCTGGGAAGCGGGAGTTACACGCGGCCGCCACCGCCACCACCAAGCCCCAGAGCGCACACCCGCCCGCGTACACACGTGCACAAGACACGCGCTCTTTGCGAGCCTTCGCGGCGGTGGGGAAGGCAGACGTCATAGACTTCCCTAGGGAATTGGGTGAATTATGAGCAGAGAGGATGTTCAAAATCATGTAACCCCCCTCCCCAAATTCATGACTTCATCTCAAGTCGGCTTCCAAAGCTGTGTCCTCTCACTCCTAGGTTGTGCCAATGCAGAGAATGGAGACCAAAAAATATCAGCACCACAGGTCATGAACAGAAATTTCCCCTTTAGTGCTACATATACTGGTTGTCTGCTTGTTACTCTACAAGCCATCCCAATCCTTCCCAATGGCGTTATTGTTATTTGTATATGTCTTTATGTTATTTGAATGGAAGGTGATTTCTAATGTGCCTCTTTGGTTGCCCTTAATGAGTATAAAACTCGTGCACTGTTGCCCTCTCCTCGATAAAACTAACATAGTGGGGCAAGAAGTCTACTTTGAAATGGCTTCAGAGTGAAATAGTGAGATTTGGTAGATCAGCATCTAATCATAATCCCTCCTGCAAAACACTCCAGTCACTAGGTGCCCTGCAAGAGTTGAGAGTCCTTCCTGGATAACGCAATTATGCAGAGATGCTGCTGGGAAGACTCAGGATCCCAGGCTTCTGTATGATACTTTAACATTGTTAATGATAATTCTCCACTCTGTAATAGTAGGTCATTGCTATGGTTACTCTACAATGGTGCAACACTTTGCTTTCCCTTCAGCTATTCGCTGAGACCTGGTAACCACATTTGTTGCCTAGCAACAGTTTTGTGAGAGTATCACAATCTGGGAGTTACAACAATAAAGGACATGATCACCCTGGCCTACCCTGAAGGAGAGCTAGCAGAGGTGGGGGGAGCTCGGAGTCTCTGGAATAGATGTGATACATAAAAATAGATCTTGAGTCCCTACCTGGATCACACCACTGGTGTGATACTTGCATATAATTATAAAGGCAAACCCTCTCTAGAGGCATCACTACAAAGACCCTTCAATAATGCAGGTACTCCCGACCAAGCCCAGCAAAAGTCTGCTTTTCCGCTACATCCTTTTCACACTTAGGCAGGTCACTTCAAACAAGGATAATTCCTCCACAGATATCTTTTATAAAAGGCACAATTGCAGACAGTTTTTTTAAAGACAAAGAACTATAGTCATATAGCAACTCTGGAGATCTTATTTAAGAACCCAGACAATTATTTGTCACCCAAGTAAAATACAGATAATGCTTGTGTAAAGATAATATCACTTGTCCATCAGCTACAATTATATCTTGTGACTTCAGTAAATAGACACTGTCAGTATAAAGATAAGCAACAATTTTGATTCCTTTTAAGCAGGTTTGTCCTATCAGCACCTCCCTCCCCATTTCATGCCCCACTTCTAATTATTTAAACAGAACACATAGCCGATCAATGCTTCCAATCAGAGATCTCTTAAATTATATATGTTAGCATTGGTTATGGAAAACATTTTCAACACTTTTTCCATCCTTCAGTAATACACACCCTTCCTGTTGCTATAGCTCTCTTAATTTTTCTCTCTTATCTTTCTGTACATTCATTTGTAAATACAAGCTTATATTTACATGAAATTACTTGCAGGTGTATTTGGATATTATATTTGTTGTATCCATCTTCCTTTGCAAATAACACTTTTTCAAAGGCATGTATGACAGGAAAATAATTGGAAAAATCTTTGTATCAATAGTGGGCCCATTCCTTTCTCTTTTAATATATAAGCTACCCCTTTCCTCAGAAAATATCATACATTACTTATGCTTGCTAGTGTGACTCAAACTATGATCAACCTATTAAGTTTTTTACTAGGAACTTCTTATGCTATCTTTCCAAAACCAATTCAGGCTTTTGAATCTAGAGGGAACTGATGATTCAATAGGCTAAAGCAATTTTAACTCTCTCATTGTCTCTTATCTTGTAACAATCTTACTGATGGATGAACAATTTCCCTTGTGGAAAAATCACTACAGTGGTTTTTTTTTTAGTTTCTATAATTATAATGCTCTCTTGCTTGACTAGAATTGCTGTAAAATTTTAGCCCTCTCATCTTGTCAAGTATAAGTGCTAGTCCTTTACATTATTTTGGTACAGTACTTTGCTCAAAGGCGTAGGCAGAAAACCCTCAGGAAATAAAGGAATCGTATATTCATAAGACTACATTACAGAGCTCACAGTATATGCTTGTTTATTAATTTAATTATTAGCTTTATAAGACTGCCTGATTCATACATTATTATTCTGGGAAATAATATTTGGAATAATAATTTATTATTATTCCAAATTATCTATTCTAAATTATTATTGTATTCAGCATAAATATTAATCCAACATAATAACCCCAACAGCATCTATGCACAGCCAAAGCTAGGAATAACCACCACTCTCTTTCTAATACAGCGGGCTCAAATGTCATTCTGGCTTAAAGCATTGGAAAAGAGCCAAATCTTCACAACTCAGTGGAACTCAATGTCTATATAATATATCATTATTCTGATTTTTAAATTATGTGATAAGAATTCAAATGAACTAAATTTCAGGTAGGATTCCATAATTTCATTACAATGAAACTAGACCATTGTTATAATAAATATTAAAAGATGGAACAATATGTCAGCTTATTGAACTAGATATTTGTCCAGAAAATATCAATCCATAAAGTAAATGTGATTTTATGCAAGAATCCTGTTTTGCTATTGTTGTTTGATGATACCAGACTTTGTATGGAGAATGCAAAAAAAAAAAAAAAACGTTCTCAAAGGAAGAAGGTGGAAATGGAACATAGAGTACAATATTCTACTGTGGTTTCTTTCTCTTTTTATCATCTAAAAAAGAAGATTCATGTAGTATGAATTCCTTTCTTTTTAAGTTTTAGCATCCAACTCATTTGGAAGCCCTTCATTACTGAAGCCTTATTTATCACTGTGCTATTTTGACATAAAATACTGTATGCCGAAATGGCTTAAAATGTATTCTTCAAGCATTAATATGAGTCTTGACTAAAAACAGTTGTTTAGAGAAAAAGGCAATATAAAATATTGCTATCAAATGGATAAAAATATTTCAGTGCACATTGAGCAGTGCATGGGATAGTGGTGCAAACAAATACAATTGTTCTGTGGAATATGATGCAGTGATGGGAATTTTAAATGAATGTATAGGAGAATGTCAAAGCAACCTTGCAGCGCTGTCAACACAGGCTATAAATGCAAATGCTGATTCTGATTTATAAAGCAGTACTACAAGCAATATATAATGGTAAAAATAGTTAAAGTCCAAAGAAAAATTAAATGAAAAGAAAATGGCTTCTTATTAATTAAACTAGTTCAAGGGAGATGTTTTAGTATTAAGAAAAGAGGTGATACGGGAAAAAGGATATGATTCTTGCTTCTCCTGAAGAAAATCCCACACTGACCATGTGCAGCACTGGATTCTATTCCAAATTGATTCAAAATAGATTTCATTTAAATTAAACAAATTAATTTTATTAAAAAGGAGTAAAAAACAAATGGCTCTACTGTAGTTTAACATAAAGAAAAGTGATACTGACAAATAATTTGTCCTTCTATGTAGCTGTAGAAACAAAGTCTTGTATGAAACTGCCAAGTAGTTATTGTATCAAGGTAAAATTGTATATTATTTTTATATTTAATGTTATATAAATTCTGTATATTTTAAAGATTATTCTTTAATAAACTTAAAAGATAATTTATTCTACAAAATCTTCCTTTTTCTTTCCAATATTATTCTCAGTATTTCTTTTAATGCTAAAATCTCTTTCAGTATGAGGAGTAGGAATAAGACACCTATAATCTACTCTTGCAGAGACTCTGCAGAAAAGTTTCTACTTTGCCTGATATCTTTTCATAAATTTTCTTTTATTGATTTTATTGTAATTTTTTGTTTGATTGCTGTGAACCACCCAGAGTTCTTAGGAAGCAGGCAGCATACAAGTATAACGAATAATAATAATAATCAGTGAACCCTTGTTTTAGATTACAAAGTGTACAAAAACTTTTTTCTATAGAAATTCAAATACACAAAATCATTTTAGACTGATATATATCAGTTTTGCTTTTTGCAATTAGTAAGCATTATCAATAGAAAATAGGAATCTACAGATAAATGTAGATGAAAATTTTCAGTAACACCAGTCTCTGCCAGGTCAAAGGAATTCATTTCAATTTTAAGATACTTGTTATTGCCAATAAATATTATATTTTATATAAATGCAGAAAATACTGCAAGAGAAACAGTGTACCTTGATATCAAAGCTTGAAGAAGTACTTTGTTTGCAAATTTGAAAGCATCCATAGCTTGATTGCGAGGAAGCTGATAAATTGCTGAAGAAGATTTTGAGAGCGTTACAAAGGTAAAGACTAGTGATATTGGTAATTTGCAGAGAGGTAGGTTATGTTATATCCTGTAGTCTTCATATCCTTTTCCTTCCTGAAACCGTTTATCTCTAAGTCCTGTCTTTAAAATATTACGGTGTTCATTTGATGACTTGCAGAAGTTATACTAAACTGCCTGATGAATTGTAGATTTGATTGAAGGGATTCCCCACCCCTAACATTTTAGGGAACCTAGAAACTTTTAATTATTTTTTTCAAGATCTCGTCATTACAATTTTGCAGCTACTGACAACGTGCACCCAATTTTAAAACTACTGTTAAGTAGATAAAATAGCATGAAAAACAGTTCTGGCAGAGTTGCTAAGTGAAAAGAATAATATATACTATATGTGGCAATTTAAGGAATGTTTGTCTTTTCAGAGAAG